TAATGATGAAACATACAACTTTCCTCTAGTTCCCAAATGCTTCCTCTACTACCACCCCGCCCACGCAATCAGGATCCCAATTCTACCTTGCAAGTCTGGCTAGACCAGAGGATGTACACTGGTACAGATAGCAACTGGAAACACAGGGAATGCAGGACGGATGATCCCTTCAGGACCAGTGGTGGGAGTGGTGATACTGGGAGGGTGGGGGGAGGGTGTTGTGGAAAGGGGGAACTGATTACAAGGATCTACATATAACCTCCTCCCTGGGGGGTGGACAACAAAGAAGTGGGTGAAGGGAGTGGATAAGGTAAGACAAAATAATAATAATTTATAAATTATCAAGGGCTCAAGAGGGAGGGGGGAGCAGGAAGGGAGAGGGAAAAAGAGGAGCTGATACCAAGGTCTTAAGCAGAAAGCACATGTTTTGAGAATGATGATGGCAACAAATCTACAAATGGGCTTGACACAATGGATGTATGTATGGATTGTGATAAGAGTTGTAAGAGCCCACAATAAAATGATATTTTTAAAAAAGTCAAGCCATTCTGGGTGGGTCCACACCATTAAATTAATTCCACTTGCTAACAAATAGTGTTTTACCAGTGATGCAGTACAAGTCCATTTCTTTCTGCCAAGAGAAGCTCTTCAAAATTATCATGAGCAAGAATACTATCAGAAACAATGACAATTTAGCATAAAACGTTAGCTATCTATGCAAATGAAATGGTGATATCTCTTAACAAATTTTAGTATCTTTTTAAGATGAGGGGGGAACTCCTGAGAAATTTTAATTATATGTTAATAACCAAAGAAAACCCATTTCTGAAGGACCTCATGGAGAATAAACAGATGAAAGGAAATATGAACATGTGAGGGTGGCATGGAATGGAGCTCTTATCAACCAATGGTTATCATCCAAGGTGCAAAGGGCTGAGTCGCTGAGATATACATTATAATATCATTACAAACAAAATATGGTGGCTATTTAAAGAGTTCCATTTTGCGCACAATTTTGAAACAAAAAAGGCAGAAAGGAAAATGAATGGGCTTATCATTGGATATTGCCATGTAATAAGAGTGTGGAGAAATGTGAACCTGTGCTGTGCTGGTCTGTACTCTGAACTCACACACGGCACTAGCATAAAGGGGAGCACATGCATGGGAGTTCCTGAGAAGCCAGGGTGGTGCTGTCAGGTAAGAACAGGGCTGCTAACGGTAAGGTCAGAGGTTCAAACCCACCAGCCTCTCTTTGGGATCAAGATGGGTTTGTCTGCTCCCATAAAGCTATCCAGCCTTGGAAACACCATTCCGGGTCCCGGTGAGACAGTCGACTCTAAGGCAGTGGGTTTGGTGTGGTTTGGGATTGAGAACGTCCAGGACAATCTTGATTTTAGTCTCCTGGCTAACCTCTGAGTTCTAATCACTGGTTTCAAACCCTCAGGTACAATCATTATAATTCATATTTTTATATGACAAAACCATTCATCGTTTTGTCTAAAAAGTTTCCTCCCCTTTCCCAGTCATGTATTAATCTCAGATTAACACAATGCTGAAGTGCAGAAAGTGTAAAAGGAAGTTAATTTTTAGCCTCGGTTCCCTTTGCCTCTAAAGTCAGGGCTGGTGTCCACCACTCCCTGCTGTCGACCCACCAGCTCCCCAGAGAGCACGTTTCTCATCTTCCCCAGCTCCTTCTTCACCGTTTGGAAGCTACAATTAACTTGTGTTACACACACAAATCTACAGTCTCCCGTGATTCTGGAACTGAATAGTGTTAGATACACAAATCTACATAGTCATCTGTTATTCTGCCATTTTTATGCCCCTACCCCAGAAAATGGGGAGTACTCATCTAAATTGAGTGTACGGAAGCATCTGCAGTGAGCACCACATAATGTGATAGGTAATCCCTGCCACATCCTACGAATCTAGTGGTCATTTTTCACCAGGGTCCTAAACCACCAAGCCCACTGGCACTGGGTCTATCTGGACTCATGGCAACCCTAACTGAATGAAGCATTCACAGCAGTGGAGTGACTTAGAGAAAAGGGAATTTATTAGAAGACTAGCAGGAGCTTGGAGAACCGTAAGGCAGGGAAAGCAGGGCTGCAGAGCCAGCAGGATGGACAGCCCCAAACCCAAGAGATGGACGAACGGAAGAGGCTTCCAGAGGTGGGTGGGCTCAGAGCAGCACCTCTACAACTGACAGTCTCCAATAAAGCAGGGTCTTTTCCAAGGAAGTGCCCACCTGGCATGGCTTGAATCATTTGTCCTGCTCTTGGGAAAGGTTAGTAGCCCTAGTGGCTTAATAATTATGCACTGGGCTGGTAGCTGCAAGATCGGTAGTTTGAAACCACCAGCTGCTCCTCCAGAGAAAGATGAGGCTTTCTGCTCTGGAAAACTGTTCTAGTCTTGGAAATCTACAAGGGCAGGTCCGCCATGTCTTGTCAGGTGGCTATGAGTCCTAACAGACTCATGAGAGTGAGGTTTTCCTTTTCTTTCTCTTGTTTTGAGTTTGGGAATGGATACCTGATTAACAGGCTCACCAAAACCAACAAGAAGAGAAAGGAAGTGTTGGAACTATCTCCTCCTCTTGTTTAAATTCCTAGTGCTCAATCTGAAGTACCCAGAAGTAACATATGAACTATAATAATAGGAGATCAATTCTATTTGAAAAGATTACCTTGGGATGATTTGCACCAACTGGTATTTGCTCAGCTACATATAACAATTGGCATCTGCCACCAAACCAGAAAAAGCACAAACCTTGGACAACAGTTGTTTGCGTTTGTTGTTGGCTGCCCTTTCACCCTATACACAGTGGAATCAAACACTGGACCTGTGCCATCCACACAACCAGGTGCCAATCAAACCACTGGATTTCATAGTGTGACTTTCACAAGTAGCTCTCCTAGTCCACCTTAGTCTAGAAGTTCCACTGAAACCTATCCAGCCTCCATTGACAGACAGGTGCTCTCTATCCACAAGTTGCATAGGCTGGGAATCAAGTTCAGGTCTCCTGCACAAAAGTCAAAAATCTTACCACTGGACCACTGTTGCCCCTCTTTGGGCTTAAACAGGATGCTGGCAAACAAGGGAAAAAATTCTCAATTCAGAAAACTCACAGCCATCAAGCCGATCCTGACTCAGAGTCACCTTGGGGGCAGGGTAAAACTGCCCTGTACATTTACTAGACTGTAATTCTTTACAGGAGTAGAAAGCCCCATTTCTCTCTCTCTCTCACAGAGAGACTGGTGGTTTCAAATTGCTGACCTTGCAGTTAGCTAGGCCAACACATAACCGCTACGCCACCAGGGCTCCTAAGGAAAGAAGCCTCCCACTCCAACAAATAAACCAACACCCTGCCATCAAGTGGATGCTGACTCATAGGACACCCCCCCACCCCCCCACCACCCCCCCACCCCGCCAAATAAACAGCAACAATAAACCCTTATCTTCCAAAGGTCACCTTCACCTAGCCAAAAAAACCCTCAAGACAAACAACAAGTAGCAGCAAACATAGAGTGCTATGATAAGATAATAAATATAATCTTCAATGAGATAATATAGACAAAAGATCTAAATGCATTGTGACTTCAATCTTCTGTCTATATTACCTCATTTAAGTCTCACAAAAGCCCGGGCATATTATCAGCAGCCTTAGAGACATTAAGTAACTCCACTGAAGTCTCTCAACACTCAGGCAGGCGGCACACAGAGGCTGCACACACTCACCCTCACACCGGGCTGCCTGCACACTCTCCCTTACACCCGGCTGTATGCATTGAATTAACAATTAACTCGGGGAAGTCAGGAACTGTATCCCGGTTTTTCCAGGTATTTCTCTGCATAACTGAGTTTTAATAAATATCTTCTGACTGAGTTTTTTATAAACTCATAGGATGTGTTTTAAAGTTCACTTAGCACTTCGACATAGACATGTACAACTCTTAGAGCAGGTTAAAGACACAGGTTCTGGCTTCAAACACTAGTGCAGCCATTCCCCAGGTTAATATACACACACAATTTCAATGCCTAAGTTTTCCTACCTGCAAAACAAAACGATAATAGTATTGGATCACGGTGATCCGAAAGTAAATCATTAATGCAGGCAAACGTGGAAGAACAGGGCCTGGTCTCTATACCTGAGTTACAGTCGGTGTCACTGTCGGACTTCTCTCAAGGCTGGCAACTGGTTCTGTTGTCTGTGGCTGGTTGGGTTTGTCCTCCCTGCACATACCCAGAGTAATTCATCATTTCTTCTTTCATGGAAGGAACTAGCCAAGCGGCGCCTTTACTTCAAAATTCTAAAACTGAATTCAGCAGTGGTCTCAACCAAAATATCATTTTCAACAAAATCTCAACCAAAAATATTATTTTCAAAAAGACATAGGGATTGGTTTCAAAATAATCCTGCGATGCCCTCAGAGATTCTGTAGTTAAAGTCTCTTCCAGTCCCTCGTAACAGTGACGCTATCGAGCAGAAGCACGTATGGAAGTAAAAGCACACTCCAACACAAAGCAGGCAAGAGAGCCAGCTCTCATCCATGTTGTCTTCTGCCTCCACGGCAAACCTCACTTCCCTGGCAAGGTAAACCGCTTGTCAGCCCCAATATGTATCTCCCTTCTCTCTCAGACCATGAACTAGTCATCAGACCACCCAGCCCAACAAACAAATCCACTGCTGTCAAGTTGATTCCGACTCCTGTCACCCCTGTAAGTGAGAACAATGCAAAACTGTTTTCTAGGGTTTCCAACACTGCAAATCTTTACCAAAAAAGGAAGTCTCATTTTTCTCCTGCAGAGCAGCTGGAGGGTTCGAACCGCTGACCTTCTAGTTAGCCACCCAACAGTTAACCCAGGAGGGCTCCTTTCATCAAATCCAGTCACCATGTTGATCCACCAGTGCTTCTCTACATGTTGGGGGTCCGAGGAAGAGGAGGCAATGTGGGAAGGGGGTTGAAAGACAAAGAGGGAAGCTCAATATTTATTTCATGTACCTTCAATACTGTAATGTTCCAAGCAAAACTCTCGGTGGCTTTGTTGAGTTTTCTTCCTTTCAAGCCTTCCTTTGATCCCAGGTTATGAAGTTCCTCATGAAATTCCATTGCTTTGAATAGAGAACATATGAGAAATATTTGTGTACATTTCAGAAAATTGGCCTTTATCATGAAAATACTATTAATCACCATAAAACTTGTTGTTCCTATCCTCTCTTTGAAATCTCTAAACTAAATTTTCTCTCCCATTATGTTCATCCCCAACAAATGTCTGTCCTCAGGGAGAAAACCAACAATCATCAATACATTAGGCTAAATTATATGTGAAACATTGATAAAAGACATTGGAAGTTAGGAAGCAAATTCTTCTGATGCGTTGGAATCATTATGTTTTTCACCGTGGCTTTTGTATAAAATGGCACAATGTGTGTGAATGGTGGCTATATGTAATAAATATATATCTATCACTTTTCCCTATGAAGCAAACTTATGGCATGACAGCAGAGGCCCTGGATACCACAAAAACCCAAATTTCCAGGTAATTACTCAAGGTTGGTTACAAATAAGCCTTGTAACAAACAGCGGTTCTGGAAAACCTTTAACATTTCATATTTAGGACAAGACATCAAGAACTTCCTGGGGAAAGTCACCATGCTTGGTAAAATAGAGGGGCAGCAACAAAAAGAGGAAGGCCCTTAAAAAGATGAATTGACAGTGGCGGCGGCAGAAATGGGCTCAAGCATGAAAACAACTGGGAGGAGGATGCAGGACCAGACAGTGCCGGGGGTCTTCTCGGAGTTGAAAACGACTCGGTGGCACCCCCCACCCCCACCCCCACCTTCTTCCCCAGGCATCCATGCAAGCTTCAAAACTACACAAAACAGAATCACCATCATCGGTTTCTCCCGTCTTTCTTTTGGCACCTTGAGAATGAAAATTATGGTCTCTCTGGACAGCGAATTCCATCTTCAGAAAGTTAGTAAGTGAAAACAAGTCAAAATCGTTTCCTGGAACTTCTATCCCCAGGCTCTGCCTGGGCCCTCACCGCCAAGCTCCAATCCCTTGTCCAGGGAACTTCACGCTGCCTTCAGGTTGGTTCCAACTCACGCAGATCCCAAAGGACAGAGGAGGACTCTTCCGTAGGGTTTCTGAGGCTCTAAATCTTTAGGGGGATAGCCTCACCTTTCTCCCTCAGAGCAGCGAGTGGCTTTAGACTGCTGCCCTTGAGGTCAGAGTGAAACAGTGTGGGGACCTACATCCAGGAGCGAACCTCCTACTCAAGGTGAGCTTGAAACAGTCCATATGAGGGAGGTGATTAGCACCACTCTCTTTTTCCTGGTAACCCTCCAAAGCCAAACCCACCACTGCCAAGGTGATTTGACAATCCTATAGGACAGAGTAGATATTCCCCATAGGGTCTCTATGGCTGTAAACCTTCATGGAGGCAGACTGCCACAGTTTTCCCCCATAGGTACGCTATCAGAGGATTCAAACCTCTGATCTTCCAGCTAATGGCTGACCCCTTAACACAGTCTAAAATCACATTCGTTTTTCTGCTGCTCTATCACAATGGATTCACACAGCAGAGCAGCAGAGCATCCTTTCACAGCCTGGGTTCACAAAGCTGTAGGAGTTGTTAAAAGTCCCTGGGCTCCAGTTCCCTCATTAGTGACAAGGGTGATAACAAGACTATTGACTTTATGGGATAGGGTGAAGATTCAGTCACTATGTGTAAAGCTCTTAAGGCAACCCCTGTGAACGTGAAAGCATTATTTAAGTATTTGGTTTTTAATTTCATGCTCCCAGTTAACTGAAACATCTAATCCTGGTGGTCAGGCAGCTCAAAGCACCATTTTAAATGACTGATATGGGTTCAAAGATCAGTTTCACCACAAGTTAATGTGGAATCTTGCATATTTGTTCAGAAGCCCAGATACCTTCTCTGTAAGTTAGAAATAATGACTATCTTGCCCAATTGCTGTGAGAATTAAGTAAGGTGGCACATCACATGCATGTATGTCAGAATATCGCTTCAGTTTTCATTTTCTTCAAGGTAATCTTCATTGTCTTCCCAGTCATCTTTGTGTGGGGGTCCAGGATCACAGGAAGCCAACAAATGTAAAAGGGTATTGATAAAGGTGAGGATAAACAGAAGTGTGCCTTCACAGACGTGTGATCCTCGAATCCGCGAAGGAAGAATAAATCAAAAACAAGGACTAGTCAAAGGGCAAGGCTAGGTGAATCGGCTGACGGTTCAAGGTATAAAGCTAAAGTGGACCATGAGGAGTAGTGTAGAACCCTCGTGTCCATACCAGTATAATAATAGTTGGGATTCCACAAACAAAAAGAGTGGGCTCACTCAAAATATCTTCATGTTCCACACTCCCCTCCCCCATACTGTCAGGTCAATTTCAACACAAACTTTGTGATAACGCAAAGTATAAACTATGGCATCAAATATTTGAATCTGAATAGAAAGAAATAGAATACTTTTAAAAGTCCATTTAAATGTATCATCATTATGGTTTCCAAACAAAAGAAGCGAAAAAACAATTACCTGTTTTCTGACATTGTACAATCTTTTCATGGACTGTGTCTGCCATTTCTATAAGAAGCCGGTTCTCTTGAATCATCTGTCACAAAATAAATATCAAAAGGGAGTTGTCAGAAATCCTTAAAGTGGTCCATTGGGAAGATGAGACAAACAGAATGCCACCCATGATGTCACTAGGAAGCCATGAGCCCAACCAGGAAAGACCGGGGGGTGGGGGTGGGGGGTGGGAGCAGGATAACCTCTGCTCCAACCCCCATCCACTCCAACACTGAAGGTTGAATTGTCTTCTTTAAGATTGTTCCAGATATGTAACATGTCTGGCACAAAGCAGGTGCCCAACAAATAACTGTTGGATAAATGAGTACCATTCCTTTCCATCCAGATCATGTCGCTTGAACACTCTGATTCTCCCTTCCCTCGCTCCACAAATGACCCCCAACTTACAATGGTGCAAGTGGTATAGGAACAAGAGCAGGGAGAAACAGAACGGGATTCATCCACTGATGAGCTCAAGGACTCCTGAACACAACAGTGAGGTTGGCAGCTTGAGTCTGTGTGATCCAGTGGAGAAGGAGATCTAGTTCTCTCCTCAAGCAGGGCTACCCTACCAAGAATGAAGAGAGAGCACAGGTCAGAGCCAGAAGCTCAGGAGAGCATATAAATAACAACACTGAAGTAGCTGCTCCTGACCTTCGCGTTTGGGTAGAAAACAAATATATCCAGAAAGCAATTGATATGCTGGGGAAAATGAGGTAACAGTTTTGTCAATTGAAGAATAGAAGACCCTGTATGTGAAGGAGTAGGAAAGATTATCATGGCCCTTGGTAAAGAACTTGTGCTGTCAGAAAAATATAGAATTGGGGATCATTTGGGATTGCAAGCAGTGGAAAAATGCCAAGTAATAAGCAATGCCTACATTTACACTACTCTGATTTCTTGTTGCTCTTCCAGGTTGTCTGATTTCCTCTGCTCCAAGAATTGATCAAATATCAACTGAAATGGTTCAACAAGCTGATGAAGTGCTGGAAGCCCTCACTTATCTATGCCAGGAAATTGGAAAGACAGCTACTTGACCAACTGACTGGAAGAGATCCATATCTGTACCCATTCCAAGAAAGGGGACCAACAAAATAGGCAAACTACAGAAAAATATCATTAATATTACATGCAAGTAAAATTTTGCTGAAGATTATCCAATAACAGTTGCCGCAGTACATTGGCAGAGAGCTTCCAGACGGTCAGACTGGATTCAGAAGAGGATGCGGAACAAGGAATGTAACTGCTGTTATAAAAAGCATCTTGGCTGCAAGCAGAGAATGCAAGAGAGATGCTTACTTGTGCTTTATTGACTGTGCTAAGGCACTGTGTGGATCATAACAAAATACAGAGAGCCTTGTGAAGAATGAGGATTCTAGAACACTTCATTGTGCTCATGCAGACCCTGTGCATTGATCAAGAGGCAGTGGTGACTTGAAGTACTTGTTAATGAAGATCAAGGACGGCAGCCTTCAGTATGGATTTCAACTCAATGTAAAGCAGACCAAAATCCTCACAACTGGACCAATAGGTAACGTCATGATCAGTGGAGAAAAGATAGAAGTTATCAAGCATGTAATCTTGCTTAGATCCACAATCATTGCTAGTGAAAGCAGTAGTCAAGACCTCAAAGGATGCAATGCATTGGGTAAATATGCTGCACAAGAACTCTTCAGAGTGTTGAAAAGCAAGGAGGTCCCTTTGAGGACCAACCTGCACCTGACCCAAGCGTGGTATTTTCAGTCACATCATATCATGTGAAAGTTGGACATTGAATAAGGAAGAAGATTGATATATTTGAATTCGATGCAGGCAAAGAATAGTGTAAGAACCATGGGCTGCCAAAAGAACAACAAAAGAATCTGTCTTGGAAGAAGTATCGCCAGAATGCTCCTGAGAGGCAAAGGCAGTGAGACTTCATGTCCTTTGGGCAGGTTGTCAGGAGAGATCGGTCCCTGGAGAAGGACATCATGCTTGGCAGAGTGGAAGGGCAGTGAAAAGGACGAAGGCCTTCGACAAGATGGACTGACACAGTGACTGCAACCCTGAGCTCAAACATAAGAACCATTGGAAGGCTGGTGCAGGACCACATGGTGTTTCCTGCTTTTGTGCATAGGGCAGCTGTGAGTTGAAACGGACTCAATTCCCCCTTACAACGACAATCATTCTACGTTCACTTGTCTGCCTCACTGCTCTGAAAGGAGCCATGGTAGAATCCAAAGTGAATGGGAAAGGTCTTGAGTAGATATTGTTGAACAGATTTGAGGCTCTGCATTCACTTCAAGATATAAAACAGATCATGACTACAAATATGCAAACAGCGAGTCACAATCGCTCATGCCTGACTTCATAGGAGCCAGGATTGAGTTTGGATTAAAGGCTTGGCATTCTGCTTTAAACCTCCAAAATCAGAAACCAAACTCACTGCCATTAAGTCAACGACTACTCCTAGCGACCCTACAGCACAGAAGAGAACTGTCCCTGTGGCTTTCTCAGATCGTAACTCCTTACAGAAGTAGAAAGCCTCATATTTCTCCCAACAGGCAACTGTGGCTTCAAACTGCTGGTCTTGTGGTTAGAGCCCAACTCAGAGCCACAACCAACTCAAACACCATCAAGGTTCCTCAAACATCAGCCATTGAAACCTTATGGAAACCAGTTTGAAGTTGACAGAAGGCAACTGGTTATCATAGGGGTTCCCACTGTCCTTAGAATTCTGTCATTCAAACAGTTTCTATAGTCAACTTTCAATCATTGGCTACTTGTGGAGAAAAGAAATATGATTGTAATGGACTAATATTCCAGGTAACATTAAACTAGCCATGTCAACTTTTCCTTACAGGTAAGCAATTGATCTTAGTTGCTAGAAAGAAAAAACAACAACACCTGACTTGGATTTCATCTGTTTCCTTGGTCTCCAGAGATCCCGATGCAAATGATACAAGAAGTGCAGAAGCAGAGGAGAGAAGAGGAGAAGCATGCACCTCCTCGGCCCACCAACTGGAGAGGGAGCACTCCCAGCCCACTGAGACTGGGTTGATACAAGTGACAGAAGCCTGCGGTGACCTGATTTGCATATCATGTTTCAGCCTGGTCTCCCAGTGGCTTCTGCCTCTACAGGAAGAAGCCATACAAAGGACTTTTCTTTAGTTCTGTCATATGATTATCTCCTAATGGATCTTATTTCCTTGCCATGCTTTGTATCTAAAAGAATAAAGGAGTTGCCCAGATAAAAATGAGCATAACTCTCAGCATTATCGGTGTCTTTAACCATCCTGGTTAAGGCTGTCAGTGAGGATCAAACACGCTACTTTCAAGGGGACGCTTTCCTTAAGGGGACAGTAGCACTTTTATTCAGAGATGGGTTACATTGTCTAACCCCTCTAACTCTGGTGAGGTGAAAGGGAAATGTCCTTCCAGCTCTTCTCAATAAAGGGATTAATTAGTTGTTCAGATCATTGCAGCAATTGAATGATACTACAAATAGGAGCACTTGTTAGATCTAGGCTCAGAAATCTCCTGATTCCAATTTTCTTCTACGTGATTTCTAGACTTTAGAACCACGGAACTTTATATTTGCAAGGCTCCCTAAGGACCATCATGAAGAAGCCTGTTTTATAGCCGAGAAGACTGAGTCAAAAGTCAACTTGCCTAAAGCCACACAGCTAGTCAGTGAAATAATTTAGGCTGAAACCCAGGTGTCCAACGGGTGGAAATGGTTGTGATACTGACATTCTATGGAGATATAGATTGTTTATTGCAAGTACAAGTTGGTAAAGCGCTAAAGTTTCAGGAGAATAAAAATTTTCCCAAATCGACTCTCCCTTCCAGTACGACTTCCACCCCCCCCCCCAACCTGCCATTTTAAATAACCTTCCTGTGGGATCCAGGAAGGCAATGTACTAACATTCCTGCTTTTTCAGGGAGAAGTTAGGAAGTTTGGACAAGCACTCATTTGAGACGATGAGAGTCAATCCAAAGGTCGCTCTACGCTAGACCTATTTTCTCTCTGATGGAAATAATCCATCAATCTCTCGTCGTTCTTAGCCCACTGTTTGGATCCTCTAATATAGAACTTTAATTTTATTCTAATTGATTCATTTAAAATCCGATTGATTTATATCTTTGCTCACTTGAATGCAGATAAATTGCCTTAATTTTAAAATTTCTTAAAAGTTTTCAATCAAACACATAGCACCACTACTAACAGATTAGCATACTTTATGTTTGAGCCAAGTCAAGACTATAAAACTGTTCATTCTTGGTGAAACCGGAAAAAAACAAATGAGAACATCTGCAAGCTTTCTGGAAGGCCACTGCCTTTTCATGTGCACAACCAAGGGTTTTGTGTCCTCGGACTAACTCTGAGTCACATTTCCACGCCTGATTTATGGTGGCATGGGACAACAAAGTTGGCACAGAGCAGGTCAAAGGCCGTTTGTCCTCCACATTCATGATTGCGACAAGATCACCTTCCTTAAGCTGCCTTCTGCATACTGGGACCACTGTGAATTTCCTGTATCCTACTTGTATTGTTTGAGCCCATTGTTGCCATTGGCTCACACTTAACAACCATTGTCCGGACAGTGCAGTACAGGGTAGCGTTTCCTTCCGTTGTCCACAGGGTCACGAGGAGTTGGAACCAAGTCAACAGCACCTAACAACAGCCACAACAAAAGTTGTCCTGATTCCCCCCAAAAGATGTCAGCTGCATCTTGACTAGTCATTCAAAGACTGGTCTTTATTTAGCTCTGATTATTATTTTGCTGATTAGGAAAATCACAAGAATCATCTCCAGAATTTTCAGGCCAACTTGACTGACCTCCTTGCCTTTCACTAAAAGTGTCCCCAAGGATGTGAGTATTCAGCAACGCAAAGTGAACTTTAGGACGCACGCCCAATAGCCCGCAGAGGCACCGACCCAAAAGGCTTGCTTATTGCTGCCTCTCTGAAGTTCAATGTTCTTGAGACCCCCGGTACCACCTGGAAATTTTGTCAGCCCTCAGACACCGACATTTTCTCAGATGTACTAATTATTCTATC